TTCAAGTTTGCCCATCAGACATGCCCCAGTGCCTCCCAATAGCCCTGAGAGGTAAACACTACTTTGCAGATACCCATTTTACAGATGCGAAACTGAGGCTCAGCCAATTGAGGCTCCATGTTGAGAGAAACTTCCTCACCAGTGGAGGGGAGAAGCTGAATGACCATTATTTGTCAGGTATTTCTTGGGGATTCCTTTGGGTTATGGGCTGGAATGAATGGCCCTTCCAACTATCAACTGATTCTGACTTGCCCAGGGTTACACAAGTGGTAAGTAACCGGTGAGATTCGAACTGAGGTCTTCCTGACTCCGAGCTAGGGCTCTGAGTTGTCTTTGCATCAGCCTGGCTCGGAATATTCCAAGGGACGCCACGATGCTGGCAAAGACATACAGAACACGGTCCCTGCCCCCTTGGAGCTTATAGGGAGGTATGGCAAGAATGTAGGATGAGTGAAGAAGCAATTGTTAAGCGTCCCTGTGTGCCAGGCACCGTGCTGAGGGCTGGGGAGAACAAAAAGATTGAATGGAAACTATGTAAGCTGGAAGGGATGGGAGGGCAAGCACACTCCTGGCTGGGAGGGCAAGCACACTCCTGGCTGGGAGGGCTTCTTTCAGGAGGTGCCGTCTGCCTGGAGGCTTAAGAGGATGGGTTCCGCCATGGGTTGGGGTGAAAGCTGGAGAGGCAGGGCTGGGGGAAAGGGCCTTCTGGGGGAAGGATCCAAAGGCCTGGGCTGAGACAGAGAGCGGAGGGCGGAGGAACAGCCAGGAGAAGCGGTTTGACCCAAGCCCTGGCAGACGATGCAGGAGAGGACGTGGGGGAGGGGTGAAAGCCAGACAGAAGTTTGAACTTGCACCCGGGGGGCCGAGCAAGGTTTGTGTTTTTCCTCTTTTTAAAAATAATGAACCTGACAGCTTTCAACAAACATGATCATTTCCATATATGAAGAGGAAGAGAAAAAGAGAATCGCATATGAAACCATGAATTTCAATTATGTAAAGCTTGAAGGGTTTTTTTAAGTAGGCAATAAATTTATTCCAGCTCTGTTCTGTTTGTGTCTCTGAGCTTCTGTTGATATTTTGTTTCATTAACGCCATTTTCTCTTTTCTTTTTCCTTTTTAATTTGGGGGCGTTATTATTCCTTCTTCTCCCTCCCCTCAAACAAACAAAATAAACACCTTCCCTTGTAAGAAACAAGCATAGTCCCAAAACCTGGACCCAGCCTTTGGCCATGTCAGAAAAATGTATTTCTCCTTGTGTATCTCCTCCAGCTGGCAAGCCCAGCCAAGGGCTCTGAGATACCCACAGGGTGAGGCATCCTGGGTCATCCTGGGTGCTGGCTCTCTCCATTCTCTCTCCATTCCCAGGATGTTTAATAAAGGGGGAGTCCCGCTGCAGTCCCCTAAGATCCCCAGGGTCCTTTTCGCACAAACTGAGGTCTAGTTATGGATCCCTCTGTTATAGCTGCAAAACTGAATTTTGGGACCCAAAGATAGGACTGTTGGCCCATTCATCAAGTATCCTGATTAAGATCCTTCGGATTGGTGGTGTGGAATTAGAATGTTCCCCGTGCGTTCCGATCCCTTCCTCACCAAAGAAAGAAGGCTGGGAGGTTAGGGGGTGGGGGTTTTGTGACTCTTTGTTGACCCTCGTCTAGATCCTGATTCTGGCTCAAGACCACTGCCAGGAGCAGCTCAGCAGGCTGAGGTCTGTTTGGGAGATGCCCCATCACCATGGGAAGTCCTGACTCCCAAGTGCCCATGTCCCCAACTGCAAGCAAGAGGGAGGGAGGAAGGTGAGAATGAGGGCTTCTTGCTTAGGATTGGGGGCTGAAGTGGATGAGATGACCTCTTAGGCCTCCCAGATCCCCTGAACTCTTGGTTCTGTGGCGAAGCAGAGGGTGACTCCCATCTGTCTGTCTGTCTGTCTGTCTGTCTCCACAGCAGCTGACCCAGTCACCCTTTCTGTACAGAGGCAAAGAGGGAGGCAGGGAGGGAAGGAGACCGATTCCACTGATATCCAAGATGTGTGTCTGGCAGGAAAACACATGGACCAATCACTTGTTTTTGCCTGGTTTCCTAACAGTCCAGGTTCAGGGAAGCAGCAGGTGGGGCAGGCTGGCTGGAGGTGCCTAGAAGCTGGGTGGGAAGGTTGAATGTCTCGGCCAGGCCATCAAATATCTCTTCATACCAGTATACCATTTTCTCTCTCCAAGGTCCCTTGGAGTCCAGTGGGTGCTGGCTCTACCTGCCCTCAGCACCCAGGCCTTTCTCACAAAACTTTCTCCTCCCTGCCCCCCCCCCCCCCCCCCCCCCCGCCCCCACCCCGCAGAGGGGGGCCCCCCCCCCCCCCCCCCCCCCCCCCCCAAAAAGGCCTTGGGTTAAGCAAGAGGAGAGAGAGGAGCAAAGGTAGACTTTCTGTTCCTGACTGTTTTCCAGGGCACCCAAGTGAAAGCCTTTTGGAACACTGGGGGAAGGGGATGGAATGGTCCAGATGACATCGTCAGGGCTGCCTTTCCATAATGGTTTAGACCTGCAGACTCAAGAGAATATCACTTTCTCCAGCTTCCCCCAAAAGTAAATTGGTCCTCAGCGGCAGAGCCCTGGGAGGGTGGCAGAGCCAGGAGTGCCAGGCCCTGGCCCTAAAATCCCAGAGCGGGAAGAGACCTCTTCTCTCCAACCTCTGGAGATTGGGAGGCGGGGGTTGCCAGGCTTAGAAAGAAGGAGCTTGCCTACCAGGAAAGCTTAGCTCCTCATCTTGGCTCTGCCTCTTTGTAGGGGTGACCCCGGGCAAGGCATGCTTCCTTCCCCTTCAGGCCTCACTTTCCTCTTCAGGAAAATGCCTGAAGGTGGGAGCATGAGCTCTCCAAGGTCCCTTAGGGCTCCACAGCCTCGACTTTCTATATTTAATGCCCTCAGACCCCAGAGATGGGACAGGAGAGCAGCCCTGAGCCTTCTCCCCATTCTTCAATCCAGTTTGGACTAGGAAGACCTCTCTTCAGAGTCTGCCTTTGACTCTCGCTAGCTGTTTGATCCTGGGAGAGTCACTTCTGGGCCTGAGTTTCCTTTTCTGTGAAATTCCTTCCAGCTCTAAGGCTATGATCCTTTGATCTGAGTTTGAATCCTGGCCACCCCTTATTACCTGCGTGACCTTGGACAAATCATCTCCCCCTTTCTAGGCCTCAGTTTCCTCCTTTGTAAAATGACAGTGGTCAGCACAGGTGACTTCTAATTTAACATTTAAGGCGATTTCTAATTTAACACTTGAGATTTCAGTCTAGAATCCTCTGATGCTCTGTGACTAGAGAGTGGAGGACCTCGGGCGGGTAGGAGGCTGGCGGGACAATAGTCGCAGCTGGAGGGTAGAGGTTCAATGAGCCAGTGCTTGGGTGTGAGGGAACACTGGGGGGGCCAAGGGGAAGGGGACCTTGTAGGGGAAGGGCCTAGGGCCCTGTCTGCCAGAAGAGGGGACTGCTCCGAGGTGGAAGAAGGCTCCCGTCTCATTTAGCTGCACTGCACCCCTGGACAGCCCCCCTGGGCTTCCTCGGGCCTCCCCCCGCCAACCTGCACAGGTCCCCAAAGAGCTCAGTCCTCCGAGTTACTCATCCGCGGGACTGGCGCGGAGGAGGAAGAGAGGCTGGGGGTCCTTTGGCTTCCGAACCCCCCCCCCCAGGCCCGAGCTTCACAGCGGAACCAGGCGGATTCTCAGAGCCCGGCTTTCACGCGGGCAGTGGGAGGAGGCTGTGAGCTGGGGGCCGTGGGAGGGGTTGGGGTTCTGTCAGCTGGGGGCGGGGAAGGGGAGAGGCATCCAAGGACTGAGAGGGAGACCTTGGGAGGTGGCACTGGGGTGCTCTTCCCGAATTTGGGAAGGCCGGGGGCTGGGCGGTCCAAGCGGGAGGGGGAGGGGGGACATGGGAGGGGCGGAGTGAGAAGGCGGCCGGGTTTGGAGCAGAGAGACAGCTGCTGGAACCTGAGTGCCCGGGTTCAAAGGCGGAGTCACCTCTGGGTGACCCCCGGGCTGTCTGGGGAAGAGGGGGCGGCCTGTAGTTACCTCATCGGCCAAAGGCCGGGAGTCTGGGAGCTCAATTGAGGGAAGGAGGGAGGGAGGCGGCAGCGGCGGCGGCGGGGAAGCCTCGGCACCACTCAGCCGGAGCTGGGCAGCCCCGGGGGCCGAGCGCTGAGCCCGGCCCGACACCCCGCCAGCCCTCCGCGCCGCCCCGGGCGTCGTTCCGTCCGTCCGGGCGCCGGGGGGTCTACGGGGGCGGGGGGGGGGGCGGGGCGGGGGCGGGGGCGGGGGTGGGGGGTCTCTCCGCGCTCCGGCCGGGTCCGCCTGCTTGTGCCCGCTGCCCCGGTTGCGGAGCGCTCAGGGTGGGGGGCTGTCTGTCTGTGATCAGAAGGGGCGCCAGCATCTGTCCTAGTGGGGGGCGGGCGGTGTTGGGGCGGCTGTCTGTCTAGTTATCTTAAGGGTGACTGTGGTGGGGGAGCGTCTGCGCGCACTCTGGGGAACGGGGGGAGACCTGGCTACCTGTCTGTGATCTGAAGGGGGTCATCTGTCTGTGTGGGGGCACCTTCCTGTCCATCCGTTTGTCCGTGCCGGGGGGCGGGGGGGCAGGGGGGCAGGGGGCAGGGTCTGCTCATCTGTCCTTCGGAGAGGTTGTCTGTCCGCTGCACGTGAGGGCGGGAGGGTCTGCCTGTCTGTCGTGCGGGGGATCCACCTGCCCCTGGGGGGGGGGGGTGCGGGAGGTGAGGTCATCTGTCCGTGCGGGAAGGAGGTCTGTCCATCAGTGCGTGCTGGGGGAGGGGGTCTGTCCATCTATCGTCTGGGCAGGGGGGGTGGTCCGTCCGCCTGCCCGTCTCGAGGGCGGGGGCTGGCGGCCGGAGCCCCGGATGCGGCGGCGGGGGGGCCATGAGCCCGGGGGCGGGCAGCCTGAGCGGGCCAGCCCGGGGGGGCCCTGAGCGGCCCATGCGGCGCCCCGGGGCCAGGGCCCGGGCGCGGGCGGGGCATGGGGGGCACCCTGCGGGTGGCGGTGCTGGGCGCCCCAGGCGTGGGCAAGACGGCCATCATCCGGCAGTTCCTGTACGGGGACTTCCCCGAGCGGCACCGGCCCACGGCCGCCCGCCGCCTCTACCGGCCCGCCGTGCTACTCAACGGCGCCGTGTACGACCTGAGCATCAGCGACGGCGGGCCCGGCCCGGCCCCGGCCCCCGCAGCCGGCCCCGCGGCCTCGGCCGCCAGCAGCAGCAGCGCCTCCGCCTCCTCGGCCGCGGCCTCGGCCGCCACCAGCGCAGCCTCCTCGGCTGGGGACGGGGGCCTCCAGGTGAGTGAGCCCCGCCTGGCCCGGGGGGCGAGGGCAACGCTGGGGGCCGGGGGCACGCATGTGCCGGGGCTGGGGGGCTTTGTGTGTTTGGGATGGGGGTCAGGGAGCACGCGGGTGCCCCGCCTGGGGGGGGGGGGCTGGCATGCTGTGTACAGGCTACGGTAGGCTGGGGGGGCAGAGGATGCTTCTGAGCCCATTCCTGAGAGAGCTTAGGCTGGAGTGGGAGGGGTGCCAGGAGTCCTTAGGAAGATTGTATCTTCTGGGAGGGCAGGCGGAGTGACAGTCTAAGAGCACGTGTCCTGTGTGTCTGCATCCTTTGCGATGTCTGTGTGCTGCCCGGACCCTGCCTTTGCACACGATTCTGGGTCCAGACCATGTGAGTCTGCTAGAGTGTGTGTTCTGTAAATGCCCTGTGTGTCCTCTGCGCCCACCTTGGGGGAGCCTGTGTTGTCTGTCCTCCCCTCCTGGGCTCTCTCTTCTCCCCTCTGGAAGCGCAGATCGCAGCAAGGCACTCTCTGAGGACTGGGCTGAGCGCAGCTCCCAGAAAGAGAGGAAATAAGCATATATGTATATTGCCTGCGTTGCGCCAGGAAGCATCTTAAGCCCTTTTAACGTGTATTATCTCATTCGATCCTCACAACAATCCCGGGATATAGGATCTCCATTTACAGGTGAGAAAAAATGGAGGCAGAGAGAGGTAAAATAACTTGACCAGAGCCGCACAGCTCAGTGTCTGAAGCCAAATTTGAAGTGAGGTCTTCCTGACTCCAGGCCCAGCATTCTATCCCCTTCACTCATTTTCCCTTCCCTCCCCCTTCACCCACGCTCCTGCCAACTACATAGACCACAGAATACCTTTTCCATTCTTGCTCATAATTATGGGTCATTTCAATGGTCTGGGTGTGGGGCGGGGAGGGAGAGGAACCACTGAACTCCCCATCACTCTCTGCTCCCCTGAGGAACATGTGGGGTGAGGGTGAGGGGTAGTGTTGAGAACATAACTTGTCACAGCTAGGAGAATTCCTGGAACAGAGAATACCAGAGGTGAGAGGGACCGCCCAGTAGCAGAACTAAAAGAGACTTTAGAATTTAGACCAGAGAACGGAAAGCCTGAAAGGGATGTGGAACAGAGAACGTCAACACCTGAAGAACCTTTAAAATAGGACTTCTTAACCTGGAGTCCCCAAAGTCTGTGAACTCGGAAAACAAATTACATCTTCATTCCAATATAATGGTTTCTTTTGCAATTCTCTGTATTGCATTTTATGCATTTGCAAACACGATTCTGAGAAGGGGCCCATGGGCTTTAACCAGGACTTACTGCTTAAAGGGTCCATGGCCCACCAAAGGCAAAGGGTCCCTATCTTAGAACATAGATTGGAAAAATTGGAAAAGATCTCAGATCATCGTCTACTCCCAACTGCCTTTCTGCTCTCCAGGTCCAGGGCTTTTCATGCAGCCCCAGGAAAAACTCAAAGGCATGAACCTCTAATGGTGGGATTTCAGGCACTCTAACAGAAAGTAGAGGAGATACTCAAGGACAGGAAGGACTCCCTGAAGCCTCTCAAATCCCACCTACTCACTTTGTAGAGCCATTGCTGTGTGGGGGAGCTAGGACCAACCACCTGGGAGGGGGGCCACTGAGTGAGTGGGCAGAGTGAGTGAGAGGACAGCAGAACTAGAGATTCATTTAAGTACTTGCCCTATGCAGAGGACTGTCCCAGGCACTCAGGGCAATAGGAAGTTTAGTCAAAAAAAGGTTGCTTTGGGGCAGCTAGGTGGCACAGTGGATAGAGTACCGGCCTTGGAATCAGGAGGACCTGAGTTCAAATGTGGCTTCAGACACTTGACACTTATTAGCTGAGTGACCCTGGGCAAGTCACTTAACTCGGATTGCCTGATCAAAAAGCAGGAAAAAAAAAATGTTGCTGCCCTCAACGAAGTTGCAAGAGCCACATTCTTGGGATTTCCCCCATCAGCCTTTGTTGGGTTTCTGCACATATTTCAGAAAAAGATTCCTTGGTTTTCTTTCTCTTGGTTTTCAGTAGATTGAAAGTGATTTGAATGCTGGGACTGTCTCACTTTTATCTTTATGTTTTTAGTGCTTAGAAGAGTGCTTTGTCTATCACAGATGCTTAATAAATACTTGTTGGTTGATTGATACCCATCTCTGTAACCCCATTGCCTAGCACAGGAGCTGGTACATAGAAGGTGTTTAATAACTGCTTGTTTATTGCTTTATTCATTTCTTGGTTGGGGGTCCAAAGTCAGTCAGTATTTACTAAGCACCTACTATGTGCCAGGTGCTGAGGACACAAAGAAAGGCAAAAGACAGTCCCTGCCCCTTGAGGAGCTCAAAATCTAGCAGAGGAGACTACAAGGAAACAAAATGTACAAACAAGCTCTACACCGGATAAAAAGGAAATAAGTAGCAGAGTAGAGGCACTAGAATTAAGAGAGGTTGGGGAAGATTTCCTGTAGAAGGTGGGATTTTAGTTGGGATTTATAGGAAGACAGGGAAGTCAGTGGTCAGAGTGGAGGAGAGGGTCCAGACAGCAGAGCCAAGAGATGAAGGGTCTTGTTGTGGAAAAGCCAGGAGGCCAGCGTCTCTGGATCGAAGAGGATGTGTGTGGGGGGGGGGGTAAGGTGTGAGAAGACCCGCAAGGTAGGAGGGAGCCAACAAACTGAGGATTTTGTATTTTTGTATTTGTATTTTGTATTTTATCCTGGAGGCAATAGGGAGCCACTGGAGTTTGCTGAGTAGGAAAGGTGACATGGTCAGATCTGTTTTGGGAAGATCACTTCAGTGATTGAATGGAGGACAGATTGGAGTGGGGAGAAACTTGAGGCCAGCAAACCCACCAGCTGGTTATCGCAATAGTCCAGGAATGAAGTGATGAGGGCAGGGTGAGGGGAAACCATGTCAGAGGAGAGAGAGAGAGAGAGAGAGAGAGAGAGAGAGAGAGAGAGAGAGAGAGTTCAGAGGTGAAACTGATGAGAGATGCTAGAGGTGAAACTGATGAGAGATGCTGCAGAGGTGAAATTGATGAGAGAGGCTAGAAGTGAAATCCTTGGGCCCTGGCACCATACTGGATCTGGGAGAGAGAGGGAGGAATCCAGGATAACTCCTAGGTTGGGAGCGTGAGGGACTGGGAGGATGGTGTTGCCTTCTATGGTGATAGGAAATGTAGGAGATGGGGAGGGTTTAGCAAGGGTGGGGAAGCTGCAGCCTCAAGGCCATATGTGGCCCTCTAGGTGCTCAAGTGTGGCTCTTTGACTGAATCGAAACTTCACAGAACTAATCCTCTTAATAAAAGGATTTGTTGGGCAGCTAGGTGGCACAGTGGATAGAGCACTGGCCCTGGAGTCAGGAGGACCTGAGTTCAAATCCCACCTTGGACACATAATGCTCACTAGCTGTGTGACTCTGGGCAAGTTACTTAACCCCATTGCCTAGCAAAAAAATAAATAAACAAAAGGATTTATTTTGTAAAACTTGGACTCAGTCGAAAGGTTGCACTCAAGGACCTATGTGTGGCCTTGAAGCTGCAGGTTCCCCACCCTTGGTTTAAGGGAAAGTTAATGAATTCCGTTTGAACATGTTGAGTTAAAGATATCTACTGGACGTCCAGTTAGAAATGTCTGAAAGGCAGTTGGAGATGTAAGACTGAAGGTCAGGAGAAAGGTTAGTGCTGGATAAGTAGATCTGAGAATCATCAGCAGAAAGATAAGAGAAATCGTAAGAACTGATGAAATCACCATGTGAAATAGTATAGAGGGAGAAGAGAAGAGGGCCCAGGACAGAACTCTGAGGGACACCTATGGATGGTAGGCATGATCTGGAGAAGGATCTAGCAAAGGAGACAGAGAAGGAGCAGTCAGATAGATAGGAGAAGAACCAGGAGACAAGGGTGTCCTGAAAACCTAGAGAGAAGAAAGTATCAAGGAGGAGAGGGTGTTCAATAGCGTCAAAGGTTGTAGAGAGACCATTTAATTTGGCAACTTAGAGATCAATGGTAAATTTGGGGAGATTGGTGTTGGTAGAACGATACGATCAGAAGCCAGATTGTAGAAATTCAAGAAGAGAGTGAGAGGAAAAATGAAGGCACTGAGTGTAGATGGCCTTCTTAAGGAATTTAACCACAAAAGGAAGGAGAGGCATAGGATGATAGCAAAGACGGATGGATCAAGTGAGGGTTTTCCGAGGATGGGAGAGACATGAACATGTTTGTAGGTAGCAGGGAAGCAGGCAGTGGCCAGAGATTGATAAGGCAAGTAAGAGAGTGAAGATGCCAAAAGGGGCGGTCAGGTCAGAGAAGGGAACAGGATGTGCTTTGGGGAAGGAGAAATTAAAGTTCAGTGGTGCAAAGAGTTTTGGGTTCCTGATCAAGAACCTGCTTTCTAAACCAGATCTGCCACTAGCTTTGTGACTTTCTTGGGGAAGTCAGTTCAACACACTTGAGTCTCAGTTTCTACATCTACCCAATGGAGACAACACTCCCTGCTTGGTGTCGCCCATAGGCTGTCGACAAGGATCGAGTAAGATAATGGCTGTGGGAGCAATTGGAGAATTATCAAAGCATTCTCTAGACCTTTCACAACCAACCCCCAACCCTGGCATCAGGGGAGTAGACGGCAAGCAAAGAAAAGATCCTCTAGGCCAACGGAAATAGAGATCAAGACCCCCTCCCCAAATCTCCAGCCCTTTGCAGGGAAGCAATGTGATATATTAGAAAGCGTTTACAATCTGGCGTCATCGCTGCTTAGTCAGGCAGCCTTGGGCAAGTGCCTACCCCATTTAGGGCTTTAATTTCTCATTCTCTGAAAGAAAGGCAGTGTGGCCTAGTGAGTAGAGCCCTGGATCCCAGATCCAGAAGGGACCTCAGAAGCCACCAACACCCTCATTTTACAGATGAGAAAACTGAGGCCCATGTCATGCAGTGACTTGCCCCAAGGTCAAAACAAGTAGAAAACAGGATTTGAACTCTGTCGTAGGGTCATAGATTTAAATCTGGAAGGGAACTCTGAGCTCATCCCAACCAACTCCCCCATTTTACAGAGGAGGAAAGTGAGACCCAGGTGGAATGAGGATCTGAGTGGGGAGCTGAGGCCAAGGCTTCTGACTTTAGGCCCCATTGGAAAAAGCTCGATCGGTTTCCAGGCCCAGGAACTGTTCCCAGAAGAGGGGAAGTGGCCAGTGGAGCTGCTCAGTCCTTTTTCAGGCCTTTCTGATGGCTGGAGCGGGCCGAGGTTTCCTTCTGGGTGTCCTGGTTGGCCCCCACTTCTCCCCATTCCCTCCCTATAGGCACCCAGCCCGGAGCAGCGAGGCAATAAATATTTGCTGCATGACTGAATGTCTGTCTGTGCTCAGAGAAATATGAGGTGTTGCTTTTGTGATCGAGGGCTTTCCTGTGCCCACGGGGGGCTACTGGGGCCCTGCCGGTGGAGGCCCTTGTCAGCCCAGGCTCTGGGTGCAGCTAAGAGGTCAGTCCGGACCAGGGCCTGGGGCTCAGTCTGTGGACAAGGTCAAGGGTCAGCTTGGAGCCAGGGTCAGGATTCAGCCTGGCACCAGACTCAGGGGTCAGTCTGTAGACAAAGTAAGGGTTCAGTCTGTGACCTGGCTAAGGGCTCAGTTTCAGGGTTCAATCTGTGAACGGGTTCAGGGTTCGGTGTCTGGCAGCCTCAGGGCTCACTTTGGGGCTGGACTTAAAGCCCATGTCCATCCCAGGGTGAGGCATCCTCTGGGTCTCCCCTGTGGTCAGCTGATGGTCTTTCTCTAGATACACTTGGAAGCTGGGCCAGGGGGCTCCAAGCATCAGAGTGGGGAATCAGCAAGGGTCTGTTCATTTGATCTCCCAGCCCCCAGAGCCCCTTCAGACAGGGAGAGGGACGGCTCTTTGGGGGTGCCAGGGCCCAGTGATCTTCCTCTAGCCCCAGTCTCTGCTTTGCCCAGTTTAGGTCAATCATGCTAGATGCCAGGTATACTTTCTCTGCTTGTTAGTAGAGAGCTCGATCAGTCCGAGGATCTGGATTTAAATCTGACAGTGCTTCTTGCTGTCTATGTGACCTTGGATAAGCCACTTCCCCTTTTCAGGGTCTCAGGTTTCTCTTCTGTGATATGGGGGGTAGAGATGACTTCTGAGGACCAGCCCTAAATCTATAAACCTGTTCTGACTCCAGAAGCAGCCTGCCTGTTGTCCAGACAGGGCAGCTGTGAATGCCCTCTAGTGGTCACTGAGAGACAGACACTCTCTCCCTGCTCCTCGAGCACCTGGCCCAGCGATCAATGGACAGGGTCCCTTCCCGCAGGCTGGAACTGACCCTCTCTCTCCTTCTTCCCCCTCAGGAGCTGCCAGACCTGAAGGACTGGAGCCTGCAGGACATGGACGCCTTCGTCCTGGTTTACGACATCTGCAGCCCAGACAGCTTCGACTACGTCAAAGTGTTGAGGCAGCAGATTGCAGAGAACCGGTGAGAGGCTGGGGAGCCCCCAGGCTGGGATGGGCTGGGGGCATCAGGGAGGGCCGGTTGTGGGGACTAGCGAAGAACAGGCCAGGTTACCCGGCCTGGACCTGACACCCCGAAGCCTACCCACCTGACTCCAGTGAGATGGTGTGTGGGAGAGCTTGGCAAAACTCAAGCATCTGGGTAACGGTCAGCTGTTAGGATTACTACTGCACAGCTCCTCCCCAGGTCTGGGTGCGTTCCTAGGAGCCAGAACAGGGGGGATTTGCCGGTCCTTTTGTATGAAGGGACTTCAGGGACCATCTACCCTGACCTTTACTTTTCACAGCTGGGGAAACTGAGGCCTGTGGAGGTTAAGGGACTTAGCATCGTAGATTCAGAGTTAGAAGGGACTTTAGAGGTCATCTACCCCCTTCATTTTACAGCTGGGGAGACTGAGGCCTGGGGTCTAGGTAACAAGCGTCAGAGGCCAGGTTTGAACCCCAGATCCTCGAGTTCCAGGTCCAGCACTTTCCCTGTCGTGCCTCTCTGCCTCAAGGTCACACGGGAAGCAAGTGGTGGCAGAGTCAAGATAGAAAGGAGCAGGAAGGACAGCCCGGCTCTCCCACCCAGCCTCCCCCACAAAGATCTAGAAAATGCACAGACTGAATCCCGTTTGGGAAAGCCAAGAAAAAGTCATTTTTCTAGCCCAGCAAGGCCTAAAGAGACAAAGAGGTCTTCAGACACTGAGGACAGGGTCTGGCCAGGAGCGGGCCATGCACGGCGCATTCCAGCCCAGGGACTGACGGAGCTGAGACCAGCAGCTGGGCAGGAAGCCGAGGAGCAGGAAGAGATCCCAGAGAATCCCTGAACCGGGGCAGGGCGGGGGAGTGGAGCCATTGGGCAGCTCCACCACCCACTCCCAAGTTCTGAGTCAGACGGGGGCGGGGCAGGGAGAAGGGGATCTGCCCCTAGGGGTGGTGGCAGTCTTGGGCCCTGGCTGTTTACTGAGCAAGGAACAGGTTCAGAAGCCAACAGAAGCATCGCTCTGGGCTCATCCCAGGAGCAGGGAGGGGACTCAGTCTAGCCTCCCATGCAGTCTGCAGTGGAATCCTAAACCAATGCGGAGCCGGCAGGTGAGACACTCTGAACCTGCAGAACCTCCCGGGCGGCTAACAGTGGCCAAATCCCAGCCAACAGACCCAAACCTGTGTCGGGAACATGCGGAGCTCACGTCAGGAGGGCAGGAAGCAGACCTCGCCTTGGATTGCACCCCTTTGGGGGCACTAAAAGCCTGTAGGCCCCCAACCTGAGCTGTGAAAGCAGAAGATGCTCAGCAGCTGAGGCCAGAAATCCCCCCCCCAAGAAATGCACAGAGCCCACCACTACCATCAAGTCCAAAGTCACAAAGGGGACTCAAAGAATGAACAAACAAAAAACTATTATGGAGACAATGAAACTTAAGACACAAATCCAAAAGAAGAGAATGACTCAAAAACATCTGTAAAGAAAAATGAAGCTTGGGCACAAATTCAACTAGAATTCCTGGAAGAGTTTTTAAGAAAAGAGAGCTAAAAAATGACTTCTTTAAAAAACAAATGAGAAGGGGCAGCTAGGTGGTACAGTGGTTAGAGCACCGGCCCTGAAGTCAGGAAGACCTGAGTTCAAATCCAACCTCAGACTACACACTTGACACTTACTAGCTATGTGACCCTAGGCAAGTCACTTAACCCCAACTGCTTAAAAATTAAAAAACAAAAATAAAAACAAATGAGAAAGGTAGAGGAAAGATGGGGAAAGAAATGAGAGCTATGGAAATTTACGTAAAGAGAATTAGCAGGTTAGAACAAAGATAGACAAAATCTTAACCGAGAAAATAACTACCTAAAATTAGAATTGACCACAAATGGAAGCGAATGACTCCATGAGAATATTTTAAAATATTAATATTAAATATTTAAAAATATTAAAAATAAAGTCAAAAGACTGGGAAAAAAAGGAGAAAATGTGAGGTATCTCAAATCAAAAACACCTGATCTGGAAAACAGATTGAGGAGAAATAATTTAAGAATCATCAGACTACCTGAAAGCCATGACAAAAAAAAAAAAAAAGGAAGAACCTAGACATTACGTTTCTAGAAATCATAAAAGGAAACTGCCTGGTAGTCTTAGAATCAGAAGGCAAAGTAGAAAATGAAAGAATCCACTGGTCACCTCCTGAAAGAAACCCCAAAATAAAAACTCCAAGGAATATTATAGCCAAATTTCAGAGCTCCCAGGTCAAAGAAAAAATACTACTAGCAGCTGGAAAGAAAGAAGTCAACTACTGAGGAACCAGAGGTTCACAAAAGATTTAGTGTCCACCACTATACAGGAGGGGAGAGCTTGGAATATAATATTCCAGAAGTGAGAGAGGCAGGATTTCAGCCTAGGTCTTCTGATTCCAAAGTTCAGGGCTCTTCCCAGAGATCTACAGGTCAGTGAGGCATCTAGGGAGTCAGCTCTGCCCTGGGGCCCTTCTTTGGCTCATTCAGTCTTAAAGCTGGAACCTTCTCATTTTACAGAGGAGGAAACTGAGGCCCAGAAAATTGAAGTTATTTGTCCAAACTCACAGAGACAGCATATGACAGTGCCAGGATTTGAACTCAGGCCCTCTGACTGAGTGGTTACAACTTAGTTTCCATTATACCAGGCAGCTTTGCCACCATTTTGTTCTCCTGTCCAGACCTTCTAGCATTAGCCCCTGTAGACCATAGATGGTGGATGAAGGTAGCTGGTCACTTCAACAATTTAGTGCACCCTCATTCAAGGATGCTTGAGTGGACGCTATCTTCCCCTGGGTGGAGAGTGGCCTGTGCTTCCTCTCGCTGCCACAAGAGGGTGCTGCTGAGAACCCCAGCTTGGCCACCAGTTATTCAGTCCTGTCCAACTCTCTGGTACCCCATCTGGGGTTTTCTGGGTAGAGATCCTGGAGTGGTTTGCCATTTCCTTCTCCAGCTCCTTTTACAGATGAGAAAACTGAGGTTAACAGGGTTAAGGGCCTTGCCCAGGGTGTTACCCATCAGCCCCCGAAGGGCCCTGGCTGTGCTGGTGAAGAAGAGCTGGAAATGTGGCTACATGGAGTGCTCAGCCAAGTACAACTGGCACGTAGTTCTGCTCTCCAAGGAGCCACTGAGCAGTGTCCTAGCTACGGGCTGCAAGCACAGCCACCCTGGGCAAGTCTCTTAACCCTGTTAACCTCAGCTAGCGTCTGAGGCCAGATCTGAACTCAGGTCTTCCTGACTCCAGGCCCGGATGGCTAACCACTGTGCTAACTGGATGCCTCCAGATTGAGATTTGTGACCCTATGATTCTTGGAGACACCCTAGCAAGGCTCCTCCACCCCCAGTGGGAACTCTCCTCCCCAGTCTGTTGTAAGCATGGACAGGAAGGGCGTCGTCACAGGCTCCCACCTACCTTCTCTTGTTCCCCTGCAGGCCAGCAGGAGCACCAGAGGCCCCCATCATCGTGGTGGGTAACAAGCGAGACCAGCAGCGACAGCGCTTCAGCCCCCGAAGGGCCCTGGCTGTGCTGGTGAAGAAGAGCTGGAAATGTGGCTACATGGAGTGCTCAGCCAAGTACAACTGGCACGTAGTTCTGCTCTTCAAGGAGCTACTGAGCAGTGTCCTAGCTAGGGGCTGCAAGCACAGCCACCCAGCCATCCGCCTGCAGGGTGCACTGCACCCCAACCGCTGCAGCCTCATGTGACTGGCACCAGCCACTTGGACTCCCCTGTGCTGGTTCCCAAAGACTTTCCTGGTACAGGGAAGCCCCATCTGGATGCCCTGGAGACCCAAGACTCACTCTAGGCCATGTACTTTGTTGGAGTTGGGGAGGGGGAGGCTGGCAAACGGGAATCCAGCAGCCAGGCCCTCCCCAGATGGGACAGCAAGGGCCAAGGGACAGGCCCCAGGGCCAGGCAAGGCCACACCTAGGGCAGGAGGGCCCCTGCTCAGCACAAAGGACCCTGATGCCAGGGCTTGGGAGGGTGACCCCGCATGTGTCCCCCAAGGGCTAGTCTATCCTGCTCAGGGCCAAAGCTGACAGAATAAAGAGGAGAAGGACGGCCCAGCTCCATCTCTGGGGTGGGATGGACTGGGGGCTGTGGCTCAGACCAGGAGGGATGACAGCTCTGGATGGCGTGAGCTTGAGTCCCTCCCCCGCCACCTCTTCCTCTGTGACATGGGCTGAGTCCCAGAGCCAGGAGTCACCAAGCCATAGCAGAGAGAATCCTGGGAAAGGAGCCCGCACTGGGGCATCCCCAAACCCACAGTCACACAGTCTTTGCTTGGAGACCCCCAGGGGGAAGGAAACCAGCCCTTTTCCAGGCAGCCCATTCCACTTTGGGATGGCCCCGACTATTAGAAAGTTTTTCCTGCAATGCAACTCTGAGCCATGGTTCCAGGTTCTGCCCCCACAGCTCTCACGTCCGGCCCCCGCTGCAGCCCCCACCCAGTGCGAAACAAGCCCAGTTTCTTCAGAGAGTCCTCTTATTGATTTGAATTTTTTTTTTTTGAGGCAATCGGGGTTAAGTGACCTGCCCAAGAACATGCAGCTAGTAAGTATCTGAGGCTGAATCTGAACTCAGGTCCTCCTGACTCCAGGGCCAGTGCTCTATCCATTATGGCACCACTTAGCTGCCACCCCAGAGAGTTCTCTTATGACATGGACTCCAGGCCCTTCACTTTGCTGGTTGCTTTCTTCAGGGGATTCACTAGGTTCCTGGCGGCCTTCCCCATGAGAACCAATGTTCCATTTCCCCTCTCTGAGCCTCAGTTTCCTCAACTGTAAAACACAAGAGGTTCTTTCTAGCTAAAAATATGATCCTTTAAAGGCAACGTCGTCCAACCTGGGGGTCCTTCCCTTCTGGAGGTGGAAGGCAAGCGAGAGAGCCTGACAAGAGACATGAGTGGGCAGCATGGGACCCCTGGGGAGCTGGCCAGTTGAAAAACGGGCCCCAAACTGGACGCTGCTGCCCTAGCATGCCATCCCTAGCATGCCTTGGATTCTTGCCCACCTCTAGCCAGCCCACCCAGGGTGGGGGAAAAGCTCTAGGTCACCCCCCCAGCCCCCCACCCCAATAAACACACTGAGGGCGATGGACACTAGTTTACTCTCGTCAGCTCAGAATCTCTCAGGGCCAGGGAGGCTTACAGAGCAAGGGAGGGGGTGGGGGGGTCTTCAGCAGGGCTGGGGCCTGGCCTAGGGCTCTCTGTCTCTCTTCTCTCTCTCTCTCTCACACACACACACACACACATACTCTCTCTCTCTCTCTCTCAATATATTAGATTTAAATAGATCCACTATGCCCACTTATACGGTACAGGGGAGGCATGGGGTCCAGCCCAGGCCACCTGCCTCCCCCTAACCCTAAAGCCACAAACTCAAAAAGTCGGCCGCAGTCTCCGCTCCTCTTTCCCTGACATTGGTCCCTGGACTCAGGGAGCGGAAGTCTGATGGGTCCGATGGACCCAGTTAAAACTAAGGCCACAGAGGAAGGAAGAAGGGGCTGGGGGGCAAACATAAGGGGAGGCCCCAGCTGGGGGGCCAACAGCCCTAGTCTCAGTGGTCCCAGGGAGGAGGCACTGGGGGGCCCCCCAGCCATAGCGGCAAGGTCTGGAAGGGACTCAGAGGGGGTCACATCCAGGCACCCTCCTCCTGCCTACTCTCTCCCCTTGGCACCTGAGCCAGGGGCTCCAGAAAGCCGGAGAGGGCCGAGTGCAGACCCTGCCAGGCCCTGTGATCGGCTGAAGGCCTGCGGGGGGCCAGAGGGGTAGGGATGCGGGATGGCTTTCGGTCTGGCTGGTTGTCCACCCGAGGACGGGCACACGGTCTTAGCTGGTCTGCAGCTAGGGAGAGCCTGGCCGGCCCGAACCCCGGCCCCCCCTGCTCCTCCCCTGAGCCCGCAATTTCCACCTCACTCCAGCCCACCTCAGGTACCTCCTGCACGTCATTGAGAGCAGGACAGTAATTGCTCTCATCTGAAGAGCTGGAGAGAGCCGGGCCCCGGCGGCGGCCTGGGACCCTGGCATCCCACGTTTCACCTGAGCCATTGGGGATGGTGGCCAGCCCGTTGGGAGCCGGCCCCGTGCGGGAGGCCTCTCCAGGGGTGCCGTGCTTGCTAAAGAAGTTGAGGGAGGATGAGGACGAGCTGGAGGAGCAGTATGCAGAGTCAGAGGCCACAGGCTCGGGGGTGGTCTGGGGGCCCTGGGGCAGGGAGGCCCCTTCGGCCTCCAGCGCCTTCGAGTTGGCCAGGAATTCCTCCTCCAGGCTGCGGTACAGCTGCTGCTCCTGTCGTGGGTCCAGGGGGGCCCGGAAGCTCCGAGCCAGCTCCTCGAGTTCCTGGCAGAGGGTGTCTACCACCTGCAGGGGCCGGGGGGGCTCTGGGACCGCGGAGGGCTGGGGCCAGGCACGGGGAACGGCGGGGCTCCTTGCCCTGGGGGTGCTTCTGCCAGAGCCACAGGGGCGAGCCCACGAGTGCTGCCCGTCCCTGTCTCGGTGGATGAGAAGCATCGTCTGGTCCTCCCGGCCCTGGCTCCGTGCCCGCCGGGCAGGGCTCGGGGTGGCCAGGCGGGCATCTCTTCCGCTGTGGGCACCTCGGGGCCGACCTCGCTCCTCTACACGGGGGCTGGGCCCGGGCCCCCGATCCCGGGACTTGCTCCGGTGAGCTGGGGGTCTCCTGAGCGGAGCTGGGACCCTGGTCACTCGGCTGTTACTGTCCTTCCGGGGTCCCGGGGACCTCTCTTCGCCCCGGCAACAGCCCAAGATGCCACTCTGCGCAGAGGAAGCTGACGAGTCACTGTCACCCGAGCAGCGGCGGGACCTGGGGGGCAGCTGATCCCGGGGCCTGAGGGAGACAAGGGGTCACAGGACCCACGGAACGAGAAGGCTCCTGAGACCGACAGCCACGGGCCGTCTGAAGCCCCCCCACCCCTTCCCCATGCGAGGACGACTCAGCAGGCCACCCCTCCCCCCACCAGAGGGAACTGGCCCCAGGCTGGGGAGGAGGGGGGCAGGGGCTGCACCCAAGCCTGGACTGTTAGTTTAGGTCGCCATGGAGACAGGAAGCCTGCCACACTTTTTCCCTGGGAATGAGTCACAGCTGGGCGGCTGGGGTTCTCTCTTCCTGCGGCACCGACCGACCGGATGCGCAGCTCCAGGCTTGGAGTAACCCGTTGAGGACCAGATTGGGATAGCAAGAGTCTTCACTCCCCCAGCCCCCTTCTCCCCCCCAATCCTGACCCAGGCCCTACCTCAGTGGGTTGGATTGTCGAGTCTCTGGCCCATCCCGATGGCCCCGGGGGTTCGCAGAGGCCTGAGGGGAACCTGCTCCCCCAGCCCCAAGACGGGCAGGGAGCCCCTCAGGCCGAGAGCCCCGGCGCTCCCCTCCTGGGGCAGGACTCCCCACGTCTGGCCAGCGCAGAGCCCCGGGGCTGGAGGGTCGAGAGCTGGGGGCCGGAGACGCCTTCTGCGGGGAGAAGGCCAGCGCCCGAGGCTGGGGCAGCCGGTGTGCTGCAAAGACGGAGGGGCGTGGTCAGGGCGGGGAGCCCTGTAGGTCCCCCCAGGGTCACCAGACCCTTCCAGCCCTGAGGAACCTGTTCTGCAATACCCATGCACAGGGCTAGCCCCCTGGATGTGGAAGCACCTTCAAAACCGGGTAGTGTAGACCAGTGTTCTCACATTCACAGCCTGAGGCCGAGAGCTTTTGCTGGACAGTTGGCCTTTGAAGCCAGAAGACCTGTCAAGTCTCAACTCTGACACATGCTGGCTGTGTGACCCTGGGCAAGTCACTTCACCGATGTCTCTAAGACAAATCTCAGACAGGGCTTCCTAACCATTTCTGTCATAGCTCCCCAACCCAGCAGTCTGGCGAGAGCCATGGACGTTTCTCTGAATCATAGTTTTAAATGCATAAAGTGAAAAACAGAGAATTACAAAGGAAACCAGTTACTGCAGAAAATAGCACTGTCAGTTTTAAAGACACTCATTGGTTCCAAGCCCATGAGGTAGGGCCCTGGTAGAGGGAGCTCCTCCCCCAGAAGGTGCCTGTAGCAATGAAATCATAGCTCTAATCCCAGGCCTATTCCAAGGTCACACACATCAAAAGTAGAGATTCAAACCCAGTTCTACTGGCTTCGAATCCAGGGCCCTTTCCACCAGGTTATTTCCCAGGGCTTGGCCAATGCTGGGTGCTTTGGCCTAAGGAGGGGGTAGGAACCCGGCTGGGTCCCAGGGCTGACTCAGAGCTGGGGAGAGGCTCCAGGTGAGCGCAGGGGGCCCTCCCCCCTCCTGCCCTCCACACCCCGCCCTGTACTCACAGATGGAGGCACATCGACATGGGTCGTGCTTATCCAAGTAATGTTCCAGGGTGTCCCAGCCTCCTCCCACCCTCACCATCACATGGCTTCGAAGGACCTGAAGGGGAAACAAGTCCTGGTTCTCAGAACCCACTGCCCAGAGCCCCCTAGGGAAACAGACCCCCTTCCCACACCCTGTGCCCGAGGCTGAAGAGTGAGGCACCCTGGCTGCCTGCCGCAGCCGCCCAGGGACTTCCCTGGAACTGGGTGTGGGTCTTGGGACCAGAGGAAGTTCAGCTGGCTTATTCCCCATCCCAAGAAATGTCCCCAGAGCTGCCAGCATCTCCACCCTTGTCCCCAGGCCCTAACTTAGCCAGGGCCCAGAGATCTCAGGTTAGGGGACAGAGACTCCAGCCTGGAGAGACGTACTCGAACAAAGATGAGGGCGCTGGAGTCCCCCACTCTGTACTTCCCCTCCGACACTTTGATCATGGGGAATTGGTCTGGGCAGGTGCAGTGGCCCAAAATCTCTCGAACCTGCGGAGACAGAGGAGTCAGAGGTCAAGATCTCCCCTTGGCCCAAGGTGGGGGTGGGAGTGGGGGCCGCAGTGCCTGGGGAAGAGGCAGGAGGAAGTCTCAGAGGAGCCAAACTGATGGGGGTGAGGGGAGGAGGAGCCTTGAACCTAGATTGTGTCTGATCTCTTCTTCAAGGACATCTGGAGACTGGTCCTCTGGCCGCCTAGTCCTGGCACAGATGGCCAGGGGGCGCAGGAGACGCATCTGGGGACCCGGATTAGCTGGATGCTTCTCCTGGGCATTGGAAGAAAGTGACGGTGTCTAGATTCTCTTGCCCGGTTCCCTGGCCTCCCCAAGGAGATGGAGAGATGGCCCGATGGGAGTGGCCAACGGCTTGATGTGCCATGAAGGCCCAAGCACGGTCCCTGATCTCTCCCTCAGTGCTAGAAAGCCTCTTCCCCTCCACTCACTACCTGCCCCCTGAGAAAGGAAGATACAGGCGGTCAGGGAATCTGATGGTGTGGAGAACTTTGGGGTCCCTCCCTCCACTCCCGCCTTCCTCCATCCATCGCTGGAGAGAAGCTGAGCCCTCGGGAACTGGGAGCTAAGAGGCTCATAGGATCCCAGACACAGGGCCAGAAGGGCCCTCAGTGGCCAGCTGGTCCAAATTTTTCATTTTACAAATAGAGCCCCAGGAGGTAAAGACCACACAGATAGTGTCAAAGCCCAGGATTAGAACCCATAGTGCACAGAGCACTGGGCCTGGAGTCGGGAAGACCTGAGAACAAATCCTGCCTCAGACAGTGCCTGGGCAAGGCACTTGGCCTCTCTCAGCCTCAGTTTCCTCATCTGCCAAATGAGAATAATAATAGCACCCACTTCCCACAGTGGTCTCGAGGATCAATTAAAATATTTTTAAAGCACTTGGCATAGTGCTTGGCATGTGGTAGGAGCTATTATTATTATTATTATTATTATTATTTACTATTATCATGGGGCAAAGGCAGTATTTGAATTCAGGTCTTCTGACTTCTGTGTCTTCCTGTTGTGTTCCCACTGCCTCTCTGTCAGGACTGCTGGTTTCTCTTCTCAAAGGTGGAGAACATGAGACATATCTCTCTAACATCTCCTGGGGTGAGTAAGTCCTATCTCCCAGCCAGGTCAGGAGATGCCCCTGAGGGCAGCTGGGAGGCCCTTGTGAGCCTCCAAAAGCTGGGCTTTCCAGGATTCCCAAAGTACATTTTCTGAAATGCCTGCCCCTGGAGGAGCAGGGAGAGAAGACATGAATGCAAGGTTGAGACAGGAACACTGGGTTTGGAATCAGGACTGACTTGGGTATGACTCAGGCTCTCAAATTCTCTAGGCCCTAATTTCTTCCCCTGGAAAATGCCTCTCGAGTCTCTCCCAACTCTAGCGCTATGAAAATTAAAATAATAATGATTAGAATCCAAGCCTCCTCCTTCCCAACTGCTTCAGTTATGAGTTATGTCCATAAAAGCCATGAGTTCCCCAAGACCGCTCATTCCAAAACCCAGCAGAATCCCAGATTCCATGGGCTGTTTCTCCTGACAAGACCACAAGGGCCGGGGCCAGACTCTGCTGTCCCCCTTCATCTCTCTTCCTCCCCAGCTCTCCACCTCTGGACCCAAGGACTGCCCTTCAGACCACTCTCTACCCCCTAACCCTGGGGCCTGGCACAAACTCAGGTCACTGGAGGGAAGAAACTGGCCTTGCCCTCCTGTCTTCGAGACCCTCAGCCTCCTTATGAGGCAGCTGGGGTGGTTCAGCAGATACAGCGCTAGGTCTGGGGTCAGGAAGAGCCAAGTTCAAATCTGACCTCAAACACTAGCTGTGTGACTCTGGGCAGTCTGCCTCAGTTTCATCAACTTTAAAGTGGGGATAATAATGGCACCTATCTTGCAGGGTTGTTGTGAGGATGAAACGAGCTATTTCTAAAGTGCTTTGCACAGTGCCTGGCACATAGTAGGTGCTTAACAAGTTTTCCTTCCTTCCTTCCTCCCTCTCTCACTTTGTACAGTTGCTGTCTACCACAGACCAAAGTGTGGGGCTACCCAGTGCTCTGGGGTTCTCCCTCATTGATAGCATCAGAAAAGTTCAGAGGGGATACCATCTAGCTCACACAGAGACACTGCCAGGGGTTAGCCTACCCTAATACAGAGTCTGCACAGAGGCCCCGTAAAAATACCCCAAAGCTACCCAGTTGCCCAGTATGGAGCTCTGAGACCAGTAAATGCTTGCTTGTTGAATGACTGGACGACTAAGTCTCAGGGCAGGCCAGGGAATGCGTGAGGGAGGTCCCCTTTGCTGTGCCTGGCTCAAAAGCTCTTGAAGAGGCCTGGCCCTGGGACCCAGGCTGTCTGTGTGTCCCCGCCCAGCTGGGCTGTCTCAGTGGGGGCCTTTCCCATCTCCTGACTCTCCATGGCTACCGCCACCGTGGCTTGGAAAGAAATAAGCAGGTGGGGCTGTCTGGCAGCACTTACTTGGGCTGCCCTCCCAACCTCTGCCAAGCCTGGAGCAGTTGGGGCCGCCGGGCACTCACTCACTGCCTGGGTACCCGGGAGCCTGGGGGCGAGCCCTGGCCTGTCTGCCCTGGGCTTCTGGGCTCTCTCAGGTCTCAGGCCAGGGGGCTGAGGCTGCAAAGCCCCCACTGGAAAGAAAGCCTGAGGCCCAAGGATCCCCCAAAGTCTACTCTGGTCTGGAGGAGCTAAAAATACAGGTGTGCTTTCCCCTGAAGGCTTCATTGTAGCCCGGTGGCTCCGGGGGGGAAAAAAAAAAAACAAAACAACAGTTCAACCAGTCACCAAGAGTGCCTGGCCCCCTGAGGAGTGGGGGAGACAGGGAGAGCAGGAGGGAGGGAGCTGGTAGGGCGGATGGTGGCCCCTCCCAGGCCTGAAGTCTCCAGGTAGGCTGGGCAGGGAGTTTTTCTCTTGCTGCCCCTCTCAGCGGGGGGCCTCTCGCCCCTGGGTCCCTGTCAGGCTGGGAGGGCCCAGTTCAGGCTGCACTAGTAACTTGCTGTGTGAGCCTGGTCAAATCTCACCCTCTCTCGGGGACCCTCATTGTTTCTCAGCTGGGAGTTGAACACAATCACCTCTGTGAGCTAAGTGCCGGAAAGGACCCAGGAGGCCGGGAGCCCCCCCTCTCCTCTCTTCTTTTTTGCCCCTAAAACAATCGCTACACCAAGCCACGCTAGGTGGGGAAGCGGACAGTCAGGCCTGGAGTCGGGAAGACTCAAGTTCAAATATGACTTCAGATGCTTACTAACTGTTGGACCCTGGGCAAATCACTCTCTGCCTGCCTCAGTTTGTTCATCTGTAAGATGGGGATAATAATAGCACCTAACTCACAGGGTTGTTGTGAAATCAAATGAGGTAATCTACATAAAATACTTTGCAAACCTTAAAGCATTAGACAAATGCTATTGTTATTATTATCATCATCATAGGTCTCTGGCATGCCATTATGAGGCTCAGGGTTGGTGAGGAGTGGGGCATATTTCTTGGGGCTCAGGGAAGAGAGAGGAGAAGGATAGACTCAGAGAACATCCCTTGAGGCCTTGAAGGTCATGTGATCCAACCTGCTCATTTTACAGATGAGGAAACTGAGACCCAAAGTGACATAGTGTTGGTAGGATCCTAGAATAAAGAGCTCTAAAGGAAGCTGGCTAGAGGACATTGAGGCACTGACAGTCGGGACCCCCAAAGCTTCGAGCTCACGGCTATTTTCCAACACTCCCCCACAAAGCAGTGCCCGCGGTTTGCGCGCCTCTCACCAGCTCATCGAGGTTTCGGAGGTCACACAGGGTCATCCTGGGTCCCCGGCTGGGGTAGGCCCCAATCCCGGAGGCCGGATCCGCCGGGCGCTGGTCCCGGTCCTCGACCCCAGCGGTGGGAGGCCCCGGCTCCCTGGCCTGGTCCCTCAGCTCCTCCTCAATCTCCTCCTCCAGCTGGATGAGCATCGGGGCCAGCACCCCAAACTTGGAGCCCCGACGGGCCACCTCCAACAAGCAAAGCACAAAGTTCTTCTCATTCTTGCGTAAGACCAGGTCGTCCGTCTCAAACATCAGAACCTCCGGGATGCCCAGCTCTCCTCGGCACCAGGCGATGAAGTTGGACACGTTGTCTCGGGCCAGGAAGGAGCCCGGGGCCACTCCATTAGCTTGGAACACCACCTCCCTGGAAGGCAAGCGGAGGCGGCCGGCAGCCTCCGGGTGGCTGCTCGCGAAGTCCCTGGCGATGCCGTTGACGTTGTTGGCATGGCGGCACAGCACCGCCCCGGTCTCCAGCGCCTCCAGGAAGCCCCCGCCACCGCCAGGGACGGCAAGGCCATACTGGGCATTCAGCCACTCAGCAAGGTCTTCCTTCATGGCATCCAGATACTCCTCGCTGGAGCGGAAGGGCCGGATGCTTTTAGAGGCTGAGCACTGAATACTGCTCTTCTCCTTCTCTGCCATGGCTGGGGCCGGGCTGCTGGCCATCACTGGGGCCCTCACAGCTGCGGGGAGAGGGAAACAAGTCAGCCCCAGGATGGAGAGAGGGGAAGGGGCACCCCAGGGAGGGGCTGCCAGAGCGGGCTGAGGTCTCGTTCTCGCCCACCGCAGGGGTGCCTCAGGCCCTTTCTAGGGATGGACCTTAGTACCTAGAACAGGGGGTGTCAGGGTTGGGAGGGGCCTTGGAGAGAATCAGTTCCAACTCCTTTATTTCACATACAAAAACTGAGGGCCAGAGGGATGTGACTAGAACAAGGTCACCACGAAAACAGTCCACCCTGATTTCTGGCTCCTGGGGCTTCTTCCCACTGCCCGTGAGCTCCTCAGATCAGGTTTTCCTCTGCGTCTCTCCCCAACACCGCGGTGGGCTCCCCACCTTCTCCCAGGCTAGATCGATTGGCTCTTTGGGGGCGGGGCCTGGGAAAGAAACAGACAGGGGCGGGGCCGGAGCTGTTCTGAGGAGCTGGGGTGGGGGAAGGTGGCAGGCGGGAGGAGCTGGGGCTCTCCCACCTACGCCCCGAGGTGGGGGCCTTCCAGGAAGCCTCAGTTTCTCCAGCTGGGCAGGGGGCTGGAGACGGAGGCGGGAGGGTCTCTGCGCAGGCGGGGCCCAGGCTCCCGACACCTTGCGGTTTGAGTATCCCTCCCCCCCAGCTCTCTGGGCTCACCTGCCTCATCCTGCTCTCCCACCGAGATCTCCAAGCGCTGCCCGCAGCCAGGGGGCCCCCGGCTCGGCCCGGGCAGCGCATGGCCGGCCACAGCCCCAGGGAACCCTGGCCGCGGCCCCGGGGGGGGTCCTCCGAGGGCCCCGCCGCGCCCCGGGGGCTGCGCTCGGGCCCCCGCCTCCAGGCCGCCCTCCGGGCCTCCCCCCAGGCGCGCCGGGCTGGGCGCAGGCTGGGCCTGGCTAGTCAGGCCTCCGCCACCGGCAGAAAGAGGAAAGAAGCCCAGCCCCGAAAAGCCCCGGCCCCCCCCCCCCCCCCCCCCCCCCCCCTCTTTTTTTTTTTTTCCCCCCCCCCCCCCCCCCCCCCCCCCCCCCCGAACTTGGAGCTGGACCAGAGAAGGCGGGCGCGCATCACTTAAAGGGCCCGCGCCCCGCGCAGCAGCTCCCGGCCGGGGGGCCCCCCAGAGCTCCCCCCCGGCCAGCAGCGGGGACGGGGAGACCCCCGGGCCGCGCCCGCGCCCACCTGTGCCCCGAGGTGCCCGTGGATCTCCAAGCGCCTTATCCGCAGGGACCGCAGCTAGAGGAGAAGAAATGCCAGGGGGACCGGCCCCCGGCCCTGAATTCCTGCCCCTGCGCCGATGCCACGGATCTCAGTGCGCTCTGTAGACGGAACCCCTCCGGGCTCGGGGCGCCTTCATCCTAGGAAGCGCAGAGGACCGTGAGAGCCCCAGAGCGGACCCTCGTCTCCTCCCAGGTGCAGGAGGGGGCTCCAGGTGGAGGCGTGGGGATGAGGTCCCCGTGGCAGAGGGAGCCCAGACGTGGAGCCCTACAGAGTCACTGCCTCGGGCTGAGTGGGAGAGGCTTGGCAACTGGAAGCCGCCTGCACCCTCCTGCGGAGCTGAGCAGCCCCACTCACCTCGGAGTCCTTAGGAGCTAACCACCACCCGCCCCCAGCCTTCCCGGCGCTTCCTCCTATCACTCTGCCCAGAGCCCGCCCGAAGCTAATCAGACTTCCACCTTAAGCTCCCGGTCCGTGGGAGTGGAGTGGGGGAAGTCACTATCTCAGGCCCCTTCCCCCAAGCCTAGGGGGAGGGGAAACGTTCCCACACCTTCCTCGGCCTTCAGGGCTCTTCTAACCTGCCTCCAGCCTGCGCCGAGGCAGGGGACACTATGACTTTAATAACTCAGTGAGGTAATTGGGCCCCCTCCCCCTCGGCCCCTCCCCGCCCCCTTTCCCTCCCCAGGGCTGGATTCTGGCTGGATGTGTCTGGAGGTGAGTCACGCCCTGGGCCGCGAGCAAGTTTCAACGTTCCACCGGCTCCTTCGTTGTCTGCCTCTGGCTGGAAAGAGAGAAGGGAGAGACAGACACAGACACGGGGCGGGGGGGAGGGAGGGAGGGAGAGAGAGGTGGGGTGGGGTCTGAGGTCCTGGGTCTGAGGCCAATAAATCCCCACCCACCCTCATCCCCACTCCCCTGGGGGCAGCAGGGGAATGGATGGAGATTGGGCCAGCCAGGCACAGCCTGTTCAAAGGCCTCCCTTCAACACCCGCTCAGGAAAAAAGATACTTTGGGTGGCCACGGGACCCTTTCCTGGGGGCCTGAGGAGGAAGGAAGGGACTGTGCTTGGTCACCTCCGGCCTGGACCAGTTTGGCCTTGGGAGGGTGATAAGAGGAGAAGGGCTGGGCTGGGAGGCGGCCGGGGCCTCCTGCTGTCCCAAGCATGCATTCAGTGCCTGACTCCAAGGGCCCAGGCCAAAGGAAATTTACATCCTACTGGGGGAGGGCCCAAACCTGCCGGGATGGAAAATGCCCCTTTAACCTCAAGAAGCATCATGTGTGATGGAAAATGTCCAGCTTTGACTCTGCGCCTCTGTTTCCTCATCTGTAAAATGGGGCCAACAATAGCACCTACTTCCTAGGTGGTTGTGAGGATTAAGCGAAATGACACATTTGCCAACCAGCCCTAATGTACCGTATAAATAAATCGCCATTGTAATTAGGATGGAAATCAGGGTTTGCTGACTGACCGCGGAAATGAGAACGGGCTGGAAATCAGGACGGCGGCTACGCCCCCCCCTTCCCCCTCCCCCTGCCCATCGCAGATGCAGCTGAGGCCCCCGCACAGGGTTAACAGCACCAGGGCTTATTTTCAAACAGAAAAGGAGGGACTAGATCCCAGCCAACCAGCTCCTAGGAAATGTGGCCATCTGCGGTGCTGCCCCTGGGAGAGGGAGCCTGGGGGAAGATGCTGGGAGGGAAGGTTGGGGGAGTGGGGAGTATCCAGCAGCATCCCTGGGGCAGCTAGGGACAGGGGGTGGGGGGTGGGCAGGCCTACCAGGCCTGTGTGGGAGCCCAGGGCAGCTTTGTGGGAGGTTTCTAGGGTGTCGTCTCCCCGGGCTGCTGACCCCTGGGGGTGGGGAGCCAGGAGCCAATCAGGGTTTTAGTCTGCCAGGGTACCACTGGGCTCCTAGCAAGCCTGTTTTCCATCAGGCTTTTGAAGGGATGTCACTGCCCCTGACTATGGCTGGCAGGGCCTGTATCATTCAAGGTTTGCCAAACCCTCATCCTCAGACATTTCTCTAAACTCAAGAGCCCTTTGGCTCTGTATTCCCAGTGCCTTGGACACATTCAAAAATGCTTGTCAGAATGTTCATTTTAAGTGAAAGTATCATCCTCATTTTACCGGTGAGGAAATTGAGGTTGAAGGTGAAAGGGGCTTACCTTAGATCACAGAACTAGCCTCTGAGGTGGGATTTGAATCTTAATTCCAACCTGGGGCTCTATTATTTCAAGACAAGGTAAAGCTGGGCTTCCAGACTAGTATTTGCAAAAATCTGATGTTACTGCTCTGTGAAGAAGCTTCATGCTCCCTCTTGCTTCTAAAATTAAATGTATATGCTTCTGTTTTGTGTTTCAAGCCCTCCCCGATCTGGAGCTCTGCCACCCACCTGGACGGACTTATTTCCTATTACTACCCCTTGAGAAGGCTCCATTCCAGCCAGACCAACCTATAAGTTTGCTGGCCCCGGAAGGTGACATTCCATCAACCACTTTCTTGCCTTTGTACATACAGGCCTTCCCCTAAGCCTAATTACCTGCTCTCTCATTTCCTTCAAGACCCAGCTTGGGTGCCAACTCCTGATCCCTCCCATTTTTTGTCCCCTTCCCCCCCAAAAAAATTATGTTGTGTGTGAAGAAACTCCTTGTGGGTAGGGACAGTTTTGTTGTGTTTGCATCCCCAGGACCTGGCATAATGACTGGGCATATAGTAGGCACTTAATAAATGACGATTGAATTGAAGTGGAGATGAATTCCAAACCTCTGGTTGTACAGATGAGAAAACTGAGGCCCAGAAACGTGAAGTGACCTGCCTGGCATCTGACAGGGATGGAACCCCTGACTCCAGACCCAGGGTCCTTCCCTCTGCCTCCATTATCCTCCTAGGGGCAAAGCCAGTAGGCTCTGAAAGCCAGGCCTCCTAATGGTAAGGAGTTCTGTAGAGCACTTTCCAACCTTCAAGCTGTATATAAAGGTGGGCTGCTGTTTTTAATTATTAGTTATGATCACTGTTCTTCTGGGCTCGTTCTATCTTTCTGGGCCCAAGAGCCCCAGGGAAGCAGGAGTCTGAGCGCTCCAGGCAGAGAGGGAGGCTCACTGTGTTTGCTGGTCCTTCTCACATTCCTCCAGGCCTGGGACCCACCCAGTCCTCTGATCAGCAAAGCAGCTGAGCCTCAGTCTCTGCTGGGGGGAACAGGGTGAGCTCATCGCTTGGCAAAGGGCCCCTCACCCCACCCCTCTGGGCAGGAAGCTGAGACCAAGGGACTTAGGAGTCACCCAAGAACTTGACCCACTTGCAGTGGGGCCAGGCCCCCATTTGGGGGTCCCTTAGCCAGGCTGGTTTACTAGGGTTGTCTCAAGCCCTGTGTGACCCCAAAGCTTAGGCCCAACCCTACCTGACCTGTCTTGCTGCTCTCTTAGTGGGAGGTAAGGTCACTGAGGCCAAAGCCTTTCTCCAAGGGGTGGCCATCCTGGTGCCCTTGAAGCCTCTCTCTGATTCAAGTTGGCCCAGATCCTGCAGCTGGGGAGGGCTGGGGACAGAGCAGGAAGTCATGGCCCCATTACCTCCCCACAGCCTTCTCCTAGGCCTGCCCTGAGTCTCATCAACATCACTCATTGACCCACAAAACTCTCAGGCCTCATAGCAGCATGGCATTGAGCCAACCTTGAGGTGGCAAACAGCCCTCCAGTGTCGCTGACTGCCCTAGTCACAGTAGTAGGTGATGGACGATATTCTGGCCCTGTAGGATGGATGAAAGAAAAAGATGGTGGCTGGGAGATGAAATGTGCTGGTGGGGAGCCACCTTAGGGTGTGTTTGGTGGTCCTGTGGACTCACAACCTGTTGTATTATGGGGAAAGTGCTGACTCTGGTGTCTAAGGATCTGGGTTCAAATCCCCACTTTGACGCTTACTACCTATGTGACTTTGGGCTAGTCACTAGCTATGGCCTATGAACTAACCCACCCTGGTAGATTTCCCAGCACCTGGGGGGTCTTCAGGCCTCAGTGACTGATCTGTGATTGACCTGTTCCCCAAAACTGGCCTGCTCAGCATAAATATGGATATTGAAAGGTATTTAACCCCACTCTGGCCACTTTTGGGCCACGAGGCATTAGCAGCGCATTTCCCCTGACCCGTGGGATATGAGAGACTGAGAACTTGTTAGTTTGGAGCAGACCCCAGAAAAAGACTTTCCAGATGACTGATCATGGTCTCCTAACTCACAGATGGAGACTTTGTTTCATTTTTTTGTCTTTATCCTCAGTGCCTAACACCAAGGAGTTGCTTAATAAATGCACATTTCTACAATGTTCATGAATTGAGTATCTAATGTGTGCCAAGTGCTGGAGATGAAGTCCCAGCCTTCAAGGACTTTCATCCCATTGAGAGGAACAAAACCCACACAGATAGGTAAATGCGGGGAAGATAGAAAGTAAAGGAGGAGGGGGAGAGGCCCTAACTAATCACTGTGGGGCAGGGGAGAGGGGGAGTGCAGGGAGGTACTCAGTAAAAGTCTCACTTAGGAGGTGGCGACAACTGAGCCTTTAAGAAAGTTGGAGATTCTAAGAGGTGGAGGGCAGAGCAGGGAGGAGGCCCAGCCCGTGCAAAGCAAAGGAGGAGGTGGACAGAATCAGTCAGTCTGGCTGGAATGGACAGTGCGTCCAGAAGAGTGATGACCCTGAAGGGATTAGCTGGTACAAGCAGGGAAAACTTTGTATTTTATCCTAGAAGCTAGAGGCTAGTGGTCAGACCTGGGCTTGGAGAAGGGAGAGGCTTGAGGCAGGGAGACCCATTAAGAGGCTGTGGAGGTAACCCAGATGAGAGGCCATGGGAGTGGAGAGAAGGAGTAAATGGGTGGGCTTTCTTGCAGAATCTCTCTAGCTTTAAAATGCTAAAATCTGAGGCTGTTTGATCCTGTGGAAAGAGCCTTGGGGCTTCACTTGCCTGGTACCTTGGGATTTGAGGGAAAGCCACATCATCCCTTCTGGAAAATGGGGATAACCTTCTGCCCCTTCTTCCAGGGCTATGACAAGGAAAGGCATTTGTCATCTGAGGGGCAGTAGACTTTTAAGTGTAACTTCTGGAGTTGGCCCCTTCCATCATTTCTCTGATCTTCTCCATCTTTTTATCCACTGGCTCCTGCTGCCAAGGGATATGCCTAGGTCTCCTCCTATCTTTAAGCAAAAAATCCCACCCTGACTTGATCCTGTCATCCCCACAAACTCCTTTTCACCAGCAGACTCCTAGAAAAGGCTAATTAATTAGATCAGTTGCTTCTGCGTCTTCACCTCCCACTCGCCACTTAGCCCTGTGTGATTCTGGCTGCTGATCCCATCACTTGACTGAAAGCACACTCCAAGGTCACCCACGCTCTGCGAATTGCTAAACCCAGTGGCCTTTTTCTCAATCCTCGGCCTCCTTGTTCTCTGCCTGTGCAATCCTGGATGCGATTTCTCCCCTAGGTTTCAGTGGCTCTGCTCTCCTCCCACTCCCTGTTCTCCCTCAGTTTCTTTTGTTGTCTCATGATTCATGTTCTGCCCCCGTTTGTGGGTCTATGCCAGGGCTCTCTCCTCTCCTCTCTATACCCTTTTGGTGACCTCAGCACCTCGAATGGGTTCCATTGCCATCTACACAGGTAACCCCCAAATCTACAGTTCCTTCCCTGGTTCATCCACCCCACGTCACGAGCTGCCTATTGGACGTCTCAAACTCAACTCTTAGACCTCGTTATCTCTCCCCCCCAAACCTTCCCCTCTGTTGAACTTCCTGCCTCCCTTGAGGGTACTAACATCCTTCCAGTCTTCCAGG